CAAAATCATGAGAAGATGCAGTTTTAGTACTGAAATCTTTGGTTTTGGGAATCCCCCATGACAAGGAGAAACCACCATTTCTCAGCATGAACGGTGAACGGTGAACGGTTTTGGTGACCTCAGCCGGCGGCTTCGTAGCCCGCTTGGCATCGCCAAGTGCCTGAGGTGTTTAAGGTGTTTCAAATTCATGTGCCTTGGGGTTGTGTATTTTTTGAATCCGTTTTGAGCAGTGAATATGGATAATTATAGATTATGATATATATATATTTATAATTATGATATCACCACCCCTTTTAGGCTACTTTTCAGGGGGGACTACCAAAATGTAAGGTACATTTTTTGGGACCCCCCCCTTAATGTAAATTTGGTCACTGAACGTCCCCCAGGTATCGTATTTGTGGGGAGGGTCGTCAAAATACCTTCAAAATGTAAGCTTACATTTTCAAGGCCCCCCTCAAAAACACCTTGAAACATATAGCTTACATTCTGGGTACGCCCCCCTCCCTTAAAAGGGTGGTGATATCATATTATGTATAATATAATATATATATATGATGATTTATTTATTACTAATATAATATAACATATAATATAATATAACATATAATATAATATAATTTAACATATAATATAATATAATAAAACATATAATATAATATAATATAATATAATGTAATATATTGTAATATAGTATAATTCATTTTAATATAATGTAACACAATATTGTAAAATACAATGCGATAAAATATGATATAATATAATGTATATGATATGATATAATATATTACAGTAAAATATAATTTAACACATTATAATATAACATAATATAATTAAATATATTATAGCATAATACAATATAATATAATTTAATGCAGTACAATATATTACAGTAAAATATTTTATAATACAATATATTTTGATATAATATAATATAATATAATATAATATAGTATAGTATAGTATAGTGTAGTATAGTATAGTATAGTATAGTATAATAAAATATAATATAATATAATGTAATATGATATGATATGATATAAAATTAAATATATGTATAGGCACATACATATGGTTGAGATGGCTTTTGGATGTTCAAGAGCATCACCATGAAAAGGGGTACCAAATGGAGATTTTCTGTCTAAGCGGCAGCTGCATCCACTGTTGAAAGGATGTGATTGGTGATCAGATTGCGAGGCAAGGCCATGGGATATATCAGGATAAATTGGCACGACCTCAACTGATATTGCATCACAAACATCATTTCGATGGCCTTAAACCAGGATTGGGACTTGGAATTATTGAGATATTGACAGAATTTTTGAGAATTATTGTTACAACACTTATAGGCCTTAAATTAAACCAGGACTGGGATTCAGTTATCGTACGATTAGTGTCAGAATGTCTCCTCTACTGGACCCCCCCGGGAAAATCCGCGCATGGTCCAGTGGCAACATGTGGCCACTGGGCGGTGTTTCAATCTGCCCACTGGCCACTGAAGATCAAACATGGCTATGGGAAGTGCCCTGTTTAGTTCGACGACGTTCCAAGAAAGAACCTCCATTTGTAATCATTGATACCCTATGGTAAACTAACATAGCTATGGAGAATCACCATTGTTTAATGGGAAAATCCACTATAAATGGCCATGTTCAATAGCTATGTTAGTTTACCAGAGGGTAAGGGTTTTCCCGTTGCCGTGTATACTTCTTATTTAACGCTTGATGGCCACATCATTTTGGAACCATGTGCGGTGAGCTGGCACTGAGATGCACCACTCTGCTTCCAACGGAGAGTGGGACGCGTCTCACAGGCTTGCGCCAAGCTGGGCCCTGCTCCCATCTACCCTCTGGTTATTTAACGTAGCCATGGAAAATGGCCCATTTATAGATGGTTTACCTATTAAAAATGGTGATTTTCCATGGCTATGTTAAATAACAAGATGGTATGTCCATCTATGTCCATCTATGATTACAAGGCGAGTCATGACTTCCCAGGACGGTCCCGTCCCACACTCCGATTGGCGGGAAAAATCGTCAAGGGAACAGATGCGATGCAGCGCAGAATTCATTGTCCTTCATTTGATCCCGGATTTCAAGCGACGCGCCGCGGCTTAGCCGCGGCTTAGCCGCGGCTTCGCCCGGGAAGACTACTTGCCAACAGGCCCGCAAAGGGCCGCAATCTTGCTGATCAACTGGACGCGATTGAAAACGCGTTGTAACTGAAGGATTACCTTGCCCTTGTGTGGTCAACTTTGTCCTTGTGGGTACCCCAAGTCACGGTAAACTCTCTGGTGAAGATATGATTGTAGTTATATGTACTGTATATATGAATATATATATATATAAATCATATATGTATATATAGTTATATATATATACGTATATATAATTATAATTATCTATATAAATGTATTCTTTTTCTGAGGGATGCGCCATTTTGATACAAACCGAATATACTGCTACAACCGCTTCAGATTGCAATTGGCGGTAAACACCGCAATCACTGCTGGTCCAGTCACGCGATCAAGTCATGCTGGTTGGGCCACTGGCGGAGGTGCACCCCACTGGACTGAAACATGGCTTGGGAAATCTCCAATTTATTGCGATGATTTTCTCAACTTGTAAACCCTCTATGCCATTGAGTTCGGGGGTTTCCCAGCCATGTTTGATTCCCCGGAGGGTATGAGGTACAACAACAGGCCCAGCCTGGCTTGCATTATTGGTCCCAGGAGTTTGCAGAATGAGAATAGCTTAGTTGACGTACAGAAATTTGTTGAACTTTTGGGTGTATGGGGGATATCCGGGATATAGCTTTATAGTCAATGGGGGCTGTAAACCGACTTATGATATAACTGGGGAGGCATCACCTTGTAAAATGTGCATGGAGGCCTCATGCTCCTTTCTCATTCCCCCAGACTTGAAGCCATCTCAGGTCATATTATCCCCATGGCCCATAGTATTGGTAAAACTTCCACAGGTAATGAGACCTAGGACTGATGTGAAGCTTATGAAACCCATATGTGCCTTGTTAAGAATGTGGGTTATTTTCCCATAAAATGGGATTGGTCATCAACCATGAATAGGGGATTTTTATATATATATATATGCCCATGATCATGGCACATATCAAACCCAAATACCTATATAAAGATATACATAAAACATCGTAAAACCCATATAATATAATCATCTGCAGATAAACCTAACCCATATTTCTCCCAACAAGCGTAATGTTTTCACCTAGGTCATGAGTTTGCACCTGGGCGTCCTCATCTATGGCGTGGCGGAAGGCACTTTGCCGGGCCCCTCTGCCGCGCAATCCTTGTCGCGGATGATCGCGGATTCCTCGATGGAGGAGGAGACCGCCGGAGTCTTCATGCTGTGAATCTACCCTCTGGTAATTTGTTACATAGCTAAAAATGGCAGAAATAGTGGATTTACCCATTGAAAATGGTGGATCTTTCCATATGTAAACGTTTACCAGAGGGTATGGGATTTTTTTCGGATTTCACTGTTGGAAAGATCAAGAATTGGAATCCCTTTGCATTCTGAAAATGATAACTATAATGGTTTGTAGGGCCGCCCGGGTTTTTCAATGGTGCTTCTAACGGCAGAAGTCCCGGTGAGTGAACCAAGTTACCATCTGGTAAATTAACGGTTTGCTATTGAAAATGACCATAGAAATAGTGGATTTTCCCATTAAACAATGGTGGATCTTTCCAGTTCGCTATGTTAGTCATTACCAGGCCGGGTATATCCAACGGGGGCGCGAGATGGGTTCGAGTTCCAAGCAGCTAGACTCTCATGGTTGGATCCTGTTGGATAGCAGAACTTGACGGCTATGGATCAATACCTATGAAAATACCATGGCTTTAGGGGGATGAACATCCATTTAATTACCAGCTATGACTTGATGTGAACAGAAGGGGTACTATTGGTTCTGACACACTGCCATATATATATATAGCCATTATGGAAAATGGCAAATTTTAGATGAATCACATTGAATCACCTATTAAACATGGTGATTTTCCTTTGCGAACTGTTAAATCATCAGAGGGTAAGCAGCAAGAAAAGTATTCAATCAGCAACAATGGAGGTTTGAGTAGCACATGTGCCCCATCAAAGGGGCATTTCCCAAGCTAACGGACTTGAAATTCAACATCCTTTCTAGAGGTGACATCCCCCTTGTGGAGGCTTGTAAGTTATAAGCCCGTGGGCCCATCGTTGCAGATTATCGGTGCCAACAGATTCCTCCAGATGATGACAATGAGCAAATAGCCCATTCCCCAAACTAATGCTGTTGGGACACTCCTATTCTTGGGATTCTTTGGGACCCAAGTTTGCAGATTCAAATTTGATGTAACTTCCTCCTTTTGCCTTTGGTTGTCAACTGGCAGTTTCGCGTCGGTTGAATCTCCACGTTCAAAGGTGAACTATCATAAAAGAGTTGGCCATGATTGGTTAGTTTGCAGTGCACTTTTTTTTGAATTTTGAGTAACGCACGTAGTTTTTGGATCATTTTGGGGGTCAGGATGGTTTTCTGGGCAACCCCCAGGTGGGTCTCTCCATGTCGGCAATTGCTTGACTGCTCTCCCGAGATGGCGATGGCATTCCAGGGTTTACCATGTGGGGATGGGTCAAAACATGTCAAAACCTATGCGTTGGGGGAATGGGGGAATATCCTCTGGTAATTTAACATAAATAGCTATTGAAAATGGCCATTTATAGTGGATTTTCCCATTAAACATGGTGATTTTCCATAGCTATGTTAAATTACCAGAGGGTAAATACCCAATCATTAAACATCCATTAGCCAGCTATAAAATGCTAGGTACCATCATGTACCATCCCCGTGAATCAGATACGTTTTGACCATTTTTGACCCATTTTTTCGCACCTTTTGTAGGTGCTGAAGTGTTGGATCGTGGTCAGCAACCACGACATGCCACGCTTGGCTCATCGGCTTCCGGATCTCCAGGCAACGAAATCGCGACGGTGGACATTTCTCTCCATGGTGGTATAATTGGAATAAAACATGGGAATATTTTCATGGGATGTAATGGTAATTTAAATAACCATAAAATGGGAATAACCATAATATTGATGGAATATCCCATGTTTATTGTCCATATAAAATTGTCCATATGGTGGTATAATTGTCCATATGGTTAATGGAATATATTAACCATGAATATGATGGATATATTATAACATTAATGGAATATTGAGATTGAATATTGGAATATCACGTTTTTTTTATGGACAATTCATGGGATGTAATGGAATATTGATGGAATACTTTCATGGTGGATATACTTTCGGGTAGTCAAACTTGGCAATTCAAAATCATCCACAAGTGGGAAATCAACTATGAATGGTGGGCAATGGAAAATACAATGCAAATGATGGTTTAATTGTGTTTAAATGGAAAAAACATCTGTGAATATGTTCAATTGCATTCAATTACCAGGTTTGATTACCAGAGGGTATCTGTTTTCTGGATTTTTTCAGAGAAGAATCTGGCATAATCCGGCATGTTTGGGATTCAACTACAGCCCAACTTTCTTGGATTTCATCAACGGCCATCTCAGGAACCTAATTGGAGGTACCTACCATATATAAAGCCGATTTTTTAGGGCTAAACTTCAGGGAATATCCCCACATTCGTTTTACCTTACAGGTACAGTAGCTCCATGTGAGCCGCTCACATCCGGGGTTTCCAGGATTCCCAGAGAGTCGGATCTCGCCACTAAAATCGCTAAAACAAACTTACCCTCTAGTTATGACTAACATAGCCATGGTATAGATGGCCCATAGAAATAAATGGTTAACCCCTATGAAAATAGCAAGGTGAATCTTTCCATGGCGAACTGTGAATGTCATAACCAGGTTGGGTAAATTGTTTTTGTTGAACTGCACTTTGCTGTTGTGATTTCCTATGAACCCACCAGAAATCCATTCCTAAAAGCTTCAGATCAGCTGCTGATCTCCCAGAGATGGCGAGAGAGAAAGTCTTTTGCAGGCCCAAATCCTATTAAAGCATATTAAAGCACCTTTTTTGGTTGGTTAAATCCCATTAAATCCTATTTTTGGTTGGTTAAATCCCTTTAGGCCACATTTGTTTGGCCAAATCCCATGGAAATCATTAGTTTTGGTGCTCAAACTTTCATCACCAATCATCCTTCGTTTCGCTAGCCATATGAAAAAAAACGACTCGAATCTCCAGGCCCGAAAGTTTGCGCAAGTTCTTCAGTTCACATGGCCCGGGTGTCCGTTGGTCTACTACGGTGACGAGCTGGGGCTGGAAGGTGCTGATGATCCGCACAACCGGGCGCCCATGCCGTGGGGAAGGGACGCTTGGAGACGCGCCAAGCTTGGCGCGTGGTGATGCGGGAAAGCCATGGGAAAATGGTGACGAAATGCCAAGAAACATATGGAGATTTAAGGGATTTATGAGCTGATTTTGATGATAGCTAAGTTGGTGAACATAACTCCAATAAATACAGCCCGAGAGTTGGTTAATCCGAAAGCTTGAGGCCCAGGGTCCCTCATATTCTTTGTTTTTAATGCAGGCAAATTTCCATCACAATAGGTCGAGGGTCCCTCAAATTCTTAGAGCACTCTTAGTTATGTGTTGTATACATCTGCGCAATTTGGAGGAGCTTAAACGAGGTAACGAGGTGGAGTTGGCAGATTTAACAAGGGGCATGCGAAAAAAAAAAGAGCCTGATTTTTTTTTTGCAAAGCCGAGCGTCAATGAGTTTCACAAGGGCAGTGCCGAAAAAATAATTTTTCAGGTCGCGACAAATGGTTTTTTCGCAGTGCCTGGCTTGACCCCTGCAATCCCCGCGAGAAGGGTTAATTCCATTTCAAGTTTCAGGGGGAATGTGTTTTTTTTCCAGAGCCTGAAAAACTGTTTCTGAGGTTCACAAGGGCTGTGCTAAAAACAAAGCCCGATTTCATCCCATAAGGCCATAAGGGGTCATTCCACAAAAAGGAACCGCAAAGGGGGATTGCTACCTTCCAGTTCCCATCCCACAAAACCCACAAAACCTCACGTATAAACAGTAATTTAAGAATTTGGCACTCCTATCCCAGGGTCCCTCAAATTCTTAAAGTACTATGTGCTTGGTATAGCTGAAACTGTTTCCCACATTGGATCCGATCCTTCAAATTCTTATCCAGTGCATTCTTATACAATACTCAAGCTGTAGGGATTTATGATGATTTATGGCAGTTATATATATTTCGATATATATATACACATTTATGTATATAGTTATAACGCGAACAAAAAAAATTGAGGCCGCCCACCTTGTAGCTTCTTGGGAGCAGCTTTCCGTGGGTATAGGTCACATTAGGTCACAATAAGTTTTTTTTTAAAATATATAATGTCAACCCTGGATTAATAAACCCCTAGATTGTTTAATTGGGAGGGTACCATAAAAAAGTATCAAATGAAATGACTATTGGAGGGGTACCCCCTAATTAATAAACCATGGTTTAGTCTCATCCAGGGTTGACATTATGTATTTATAGATACCTACATATAAGATTCTAACTGTTGTAAGGTATCTACTGTGACCTAATAAGGGAAACCACGAAAATTCGTGACCTATAATATAGATTTTTACTGGTTACCTACTTATAAGGGGAAACCAGTTCTAACATGTTAATCATGTTATAAGTGACGACGGCCCAATCTACCCATCACAAGTTATGCTGGTGATCTAAGCGGCAGCCACGGTAAAACTTTCTGTAGACTAGACTACTTAATTAAATCCAGTATTTTCATTAGATGATATTCCCACTTGCTGTATGTTACGAGTCTATCTATGAATATCTCAGGAGATCGTTTTCTTTCACGATGACTTCCCTCTTAACAGTGGGGAAAGTTGGGGACTTGTGCCTTGAGCCGTGCCTTCAAACCTAGGAGAAGGAGAGTGAGATGTTAAGACATACCAAGATGTTGCTCCTTGGCTCACCCGGGTTTTTTGGAACGGAGCTACCATGTTTGGCAAGATGGATGTTTGATTACGGTGACATTGGATGGATGGATGGATGGATGGATGGATGGATATACCTATCCATTATATGGGTTTTCTTTTTGTCTGTTTGTTGACTCTGATTTAGACCTGTATTTTTAAGGATCCCAAAAATTCCTCAAAAGCCAACCTTGGCTCGCCGATCCAGGACCCTGGGAGAATCATCAGACTAAAATCATCGGAAGCCTACTTTAAAATGCCGGTGAATTAACACTGGTCTACCTTTAAAATGATGTTTTTTCCCCAATAAAATCACCAGCAGTTTCAAACGGTATTTACCAGCAGTTTCAGCAGCAGCAGCCAGTGGTCCCTGATTGAGTGCCCGCTGCCAGCCTCGGTGACAAAGGATTGATTTGCGGAAGAAGCATAGGGCTCTGAAAATTGGAAACTACCGAGATCTCTTCACTCGAGTACCATGGCATACCAGGTGGCATACCATGGCCACAGCACGGCCATGAACCGTTCTTGGCCAAGAGATGTCAAGAGGGAACATGATGATTACGGGGGTTGGATGGAATGTGGTATCTAATTTTTAGACAATCCCATATGTGAAACCGCATCCCATATGTCGCTGGCTGAACTGGCCATGCTTATATATTCGTTATCTTCATTGGTAGTGGTTATGATGATATCGCTTGAAACTTGGAAACATGGTTTTTTTCTCCTCCTAATCCGGCATGCTACAACTGTGTGAGCCAACCATGGCTATTTACCACATACCAACCAAGACGCACATCCGATTTAACGCCAACCAATCTTTGTCCTGACCACGCTAGTTCGTCGAAAATGATGGCATATTATGCGTATTGCCAGAATCTTCAGATATGATCTCGAACATAAACTGAATTAAAATGAATTAAATTGATAAATTGAGTTTATTTGGGTTTATTACCTAGAAACCATAAATCCTTCCAGGACCCTCCTAGCCCCGCCATGTTGCTTTCGACCAAGGACCTGATGGCCTTTATTCGTAGCACCGACTGTGTGTCGGACGTGGTGATCGTGCTGGCGAACCCCACAGAGAAACCGGTGAAGGAGGGGATCATTGCATCCGAATCATCCCAAAGCCCCCATTTCACATAGCCTCTGGTTATGACTAACATAGCCATGGTTAAGCCATGGCCCTAATCGAAATAGATGGTCAACACCTATGAAAAATGGGTGTTGATTTTCCATGGCGAACTGTGAATGTCATAACCAGATGGTAATTCACAGGAGATGGTAGTGGTGCCAGTGCCTGCGATTCTTGGACATACGCTTTTCAAGGAGCGGCGTTTCCATCGCGAGTTGCGGTGAAGTATGGGGGCGCTTGGGGTAGACCTTGGTGTGAAGGAAGTGTAAGCGATTTTTCATTGGATTGGTTTTGTTGGGACAATCTGACCGGAAACCGTGGTTTTTACCATCAAATATAGTGGTTCCCTACAGATTTTCCCTTGAACCAATCCACTGATTTTTCTATTTTCCGGTGCCGTCAATGTGAATATGCTATACCTAACCAGCTCAAAGACGATCTGTATATATCTGTATATGTCTTGCAGGCTATCTACGATTATATAGACACGTCATGGCTTTATGAAGAAGGCCAAAAATGGTGTGAATGGGGTTTTGTTTGTGAGCCCCTTTTGGAGAGTTTTGGTTGGTTTTTGTAAACTCAAAACAGTTTGGCTCATGTCAGGTAAAGTCCCCGTGGAGAAGTGAACACACCCCCTGTGGATTTTAAAACGGGGCTATACATGGCACTGGTCCAAACAAACCAGGATGAGATCACAGAGGGTATTGAACACAGCTCAAACAAATCAGCAAAATCTGGATGAATTGATTCTTACTAATTATGTATATATATATATATCTCCAAATAAGGCCATATTTCCAATATATTCATATATATTCTTACTAAATCTCACTAATATATATCATATAAGGCAACCATATTTCCAAATGACCTACAGCTTTTGAGGATCATCCTACGGCTTCTGTAGGATCATCCTACGGCTTCTGTAGGATCATCCTACAGCGGGATTTGACGGACATTTGCCAACAGTATCCAACAGTACAACCGTTAGGATGATATGGATCAATATGGAGTTAATGTGATAATTATGTTTTTTTTTTTTTTTAAAAAACATATATGTATATTATATATATATGGAGTCTTCCAACCCCTGATGGGACATTGTGGTTACTGTCCGGTAACCAAACATTGCAATTGGAAATCACCTACATATATATATAAATGGGAAAACAACAATGAACCATATATATATATATAAACGGGTGATTTTCCATTGCCATGTTTGATTAGCAGAGAGTATATCTAGTAACTTTCCATTATATACCATTCATATTCCATTATATTCCCAGTAAAATCTCATTAATCCCAATAAAACCCCAATCAAATCCCATTCATATTCCATCAATATTCCACCCATATTCCATATCAGATTCCCATGGTATCCCTATACCAAGGCTGTAAAAATCACCGCCCTTCGAGGACCAGCTGAGCGGTGAAGAGCTGCGACTTCTAGGCTCCACGTTGACGGTGGAAGTGAAGCCCAAACAGGTCTGGAGCTGGGAGCAGCTGCTGGGAGCTGGGAGAAGGGGGTGCGAAGTCGAGGAAAATACATCGGATGACTGCTTGGTTGTTTATAAGAATATAGGATATATAGGTAATAATATACAAATAACTAACATGAAATTTAAATAACTATATCTGGTTGGTGGTTTCAAACATGAATTTTATTTTCCATAATAATATATGGGATGTCATCCTTCCCATTGACGAAGTCAGATTTTTCAAGATGGTTAAAAGCACCAACCAGATGATGAATGTGATATGAATGATAGTACCTGATCATGGGAAGATATGGATGTAATACGATGCAATATCAGTATATAATGGGTAGGTAAAATTGTATATTTCATGGTGTAACAAGGATAATGGTTATAATTGTTACAATCCTTCCAAATCATGGTATATGGGATATGAATGATCATAGGATAATGATTGTAATGAGAAGATCATGGAAAATGGGAAGCAATTATATAATGGGATTTGAATAGGGTAATAAACGATTATATACGGAATATGTAATGATAGTTTTATGTTGGCTGGTGTTTTTTTGTAGGGAATGCTAACTGGGAATATACTTATAATGACATATTAAAGGGATATTCCCATATGCTCCATGTATAGTATATTTACCTACATTTGCCCTAATAATAAACCAAATGTAGGTAAATATACTATACATGGAGCATATGGGATTAATGAATACTAATCGGATGAACAAAAAAAGGTGGATCCACCTATCCGATGTGGTGAACGGTTCGGGAGCGCTTCGGAGCTGTTTGGGTAGCCAGAAATTCCCTATGAAAAATAGGTCGCCAGTTGGAGCTACTTTCAGAAACATCCTTAGCAAAACGGTGATTTAAGCAACGTTAAACATGTGAATTAGCTAGCAGCATCAGGGATCTAAACATCATATTTATGATGACAAACCAGGAGTGTGCAGGTTCAAGCGATAAATATGGAATCCCAAAAAATGGGTCTGGATGATTTTTCCCGCACTTGGATACGGAGTCAGTTTTTTTTTTGGGTTCCCACGTTTCATTTGGGAGGTGCAAAGTGGCCGGGAAAGGGTGGTAAAGCCAGCAACATATTAGTCAACAAACGTAGTGATGCGATGTAACCAGCAAATACTTGGATTCAAGCAACACACATAGTGTTTTGACTATTTAATTTTGAAGTAATATTAACATCAATAGTTACTGATCAACTATTGATTATAGTGGCTTAACTATTGACATAGTGATTTTAGCAACACACATAGTGTTTAACGTGGTGATTTGATCAACAAATATGGGGCGTTAACGTTAACCAACAAAGATGGTGCCAGAGATTCTTGGAGATTTAACCCAGAAATTTGATGATCTATGGCAGACCCGGCCTGGTCAACAAACAGTTTGCGACATAGAAAATGGCCCAGTCGAAATAGTTGATTTACCCAGCTATAAAATGGTGGTTTTCCATAGCTATGTAGAAGTTTACCAGAGGGTAGTAAGGACAAGATGTGAAGGTTTGGCATGCTTCAACAATCAAGAATCATGGGCGGAATTTGACCAGGGAATTTCACCAGCAACCTTGGGCAACTCTTCGGGTAAAGGTTGATGAATCGTAGGTGAAAATGGGTCAACTTGTAATCCTAGAGTTCCCCTACGGGAATCAAAAATGGCCTGGAAAATCCTCCATTTATAGAGTTGATATTCCCATATATTCCCATTAAACCATGATTTTTTGAGGATTTTCTAGCCATGTTTCATTACCAGAAGGTAGCTTCACCAGAGTTGATTCGAGGTTTGATGGTCAAATCTCAGCAAAGCTGTGGAGATTTCACATTGACACCTGGAAAAAAAAGTGGAAAATTGAAGCGATAAGCCAGCCATGCGCCTGGAGGCACGGATCTTCACGATGGTAAACGAAGTTGGCAATCCTAGACGCTTGGAATAGCTTTGGGCCTAAGGGGGTCATGGGTTTGGTACCTGAGAACCGTGGATACACCCAAATTGTGGCCATTTCAATAGGGAAAGTGAATGAACATGATGGTGAATCCCATTGGAACAGCCACAGAACCAACAGATTTGAGGATGAAATGGACCTCCAGACTTCGCAATTTGGAACCGCATTTTCAAAAACCCTCCAGGGATTTCACAGCAGAAAACCTATCCAGTTTAGTTCCATGATTTTCCCTAGGCTAAACGTTGACCCTTGATGTGGAAAACCCTTCCGGGAAAGCCCTTGGGAAAACGATCAGCGAGGTGGGGATCAGTACAAGCGCACCTGGGGCCATTGGGCCAGCTTCAAGAGCGTGAAGCCGTGACGCATCCGGGAGTGAAATTCCAGAGGTTTGAGATGCCGAAGCCCTAAAATTGCCCTGAAAAACCACGGTAAAACCAGTTGAGATTTTCCAAAGCAAAAACCATCCACCATCCACTGATTGAGGGACATTCTGAGTCTGACATCGTGATGAACTGAAGTTGTTTTTTTTTTTTTTTGCACCTTTTTGTGGGTTACTATATGTTACTATACTATCAAGTGAAGAGACATTCCATGTTAGACTTCAGGCAGCTATTGGTTTGCGATGTTTTGCACCACCGGATTGAGCAATTTGATCCTCCCAACAGGTTGGAGGAACAGCCTGTAGGATTGTTTTATGGACCGGTCGGCCAGCGCCGTTTGTGGAAGATGGTTGAAGAAAGCGTATGCGTGCGCCGCCGGGCCACTTTGTTAGAGAATATTATCTATAGTGTTTCGGGCATAGATGGACATCGGGCATACACGGGCATACCAGTTACCCGCCAGTAAAGATACAATTCCATGCTTGTTTCTCGCAACGATCTACCTTTTTTGTTCTCATGTTCCTCATCTATATGTTAGTTGGCCGCATGACAATGGGTTGATGATTGGTTGGGGGCAACGATCCAAATCTATGACAGTATCATCCAATATAACCTCATCCCATATATAATTACATGGTAAAATCCATAGCATATATAAACATCCCTTATATGATCCGATTCATCCTGCCATATATGGATCATTAGGATCCATTGCTATCCCGTCCCTTAAAAATCGTCTCAAAATTCTCATCGATTCATCATCTCCCGGCCCGAGAAACGGCCAGCGGCAGGAAGAACCACACCTTCCTCACCACGGCCGGCGGAAGTTTGTGCTCCACCTGCGCCGTGAAGAAACCCCAGGTCTTCTGTGCCAACTGCGAGGACCCCGCCATTTCCGATCTGGGAAAAGTAGAACCATGGGAAAGCCATGGAAAAATATGGGGAAATATGGGTTTAACATGGTGTCTTAACATAAGATATAAGAAAGAATTGGTTTTAATCATTTTAATCTGTTTGTTTTTACAGCCATGGATGAACCATGGGAAAATATTGGTAAATCCATCTGAACATAAATCTGCTTGAATGTGTGGGAAAATATAGGAATATTTGGGAAACTATGATCCCATTAAATATGGGTTTCAACATGGGAAACGGTTTGGGAAAATTTTGGAAACATGTGAGAACTGTATGGACAATTGCAGTTGTGAGGGAAAACACCATGTGACAACATTGGACATGATATAGGCAAACATATGAATATGAACATCTAGGACACATGTAGACAAATATATGAACACATGGGAAAACCTATAGGAAAACACAATCCCACGGATTGGTTCTAACATGGTTTGAATCGGGGACAAATGAACACTGTGTTCATTGGGTCCATTCCCATGTTTGTTGATTAAGACACAATCCTAGCCATGAAGATACTGCTGGTTCACCATATTCACGGCTCATGCCCCCATTGTTTCAAGCCATTCGTTTTTGGTTCCTCTTCCCACGAAAAATATAATATGGGGGGTTGGCAGAATTGACTGATGAACTCCGTGTTTATAGCTGGTGAACTCCATTTTAGTCCCCATCCTTTCTTGGGTAAAAACCAGCCATCTTTGTTGATCTGCAGGGGGGCTGGTGAATATTGGTGAACTCCCAATCTACAATAACATGGTCGTGATTTCCTTTTTATATCTTTTTATCCTTTTGGGCGTTGTCCAACAATCATTAAAGAATCCAAAATCCATGCTCTTTTTTTCCAAGGTTTTGACGTTTGGGGCGTTTCAACCCGAAGGTTGGTGAGGTTGTTCCGCTGTTGAAACAGGACTACTTCTGTTTCAAATGCTTCGAAGACATGCACCGCCGCGGGAACCGACTGCAGCACAAGTCCATGTTGGTCAGCGTGTCCGTCGGGGCGCCCGAGAGGGGTTGGCCAAGGAAGGGTTCTCCCGCAGGTGGCAAGATACCAAGCTGGGTTAAAGTGAGGAGGTAGTTGAAATATGTTGAAATAACAGAGCTGGCTACAGTTGGGTCAGGACTTATCTACCAGCTGGGTAAAGTGTGAAGTGTTTTTTTTCAGTAAGAAAAAGCTGGCGCAAAAATCCACCGAACATGACGAGCCATGAGATACTGGTGATGTTGGCAAAATGGAAGGAATTCGTCAACGATTTGGATCATTTTCAGCGACTCAACAGTCGAGAAATATGAGTCCCCAAAAGAGGTTTGGAAAGATAGAATTTTAGTGATGAAACTGGCAACTGTTATGTTTCACAAGTTTCGCGAGGGTCAGCATTCAGATGCTCTCCCTTTGCTGCTTCCTGGAAATTGAATCGGGCCACACACCCAGTCATGATTCTTTCTAGGGCTTTCCTATAATCCAGATTTCACTACCCACAAACTTCGAGGGTCACCTTTCCAGCTTTGTTTTTTATGGGTAGCAGTTGTTGTTGAGATCGTTGGCAGTAATTAGGCAATTACATGCATACAATGTGGTAAATCCAATGCCATAAACTTAGGTTTACAATTTGATTAACATGAATGAATATAAATGACATTACCAAAAACTGTATAAACTGTATACTATATATATCACTATATATTCACATGTATGTATAAATATCATTGGGCACACTAAACCCTGTTTTTGTTTCTTTTTCTGGCACCATCATACTCTTGGGTTTACCACAATTAGTCAACAGGACCCGTGCGCCCCAGGATGGAGATGTGATCGAACCCCAAAAACGCTGCGAAGTGCCGTGGCGAAAGAGGCTAAATGATGCAACGCAAGTGCCGAAGTTTGAGATACCTTAGGACCATAGAGGATCATCACATATATGTGTATATATTATATATATATATATGGTATATATATATGTGATTATATGTGGTGCGGATGTGGATCATTGGGTAGGAACCAGAAAATCTGTTGGGTGATGTGCCAGTCTGGTTAAATTATAATGACCTCACTGTTCTCCCTCACTGGAAATCATGGTTAATAAGGGAAATCATCCCCAAATGGTCTTAATTCAGGTTAGTGAATTATTATAATTTACCCAGATGTATATATATATATATATACACCTATTTACCACTGCGTTGCTTTTCACAGATGCAAACTTACACTTTCGTTTTTGTTTGGTGCAACCGGATTGAAGCCCACAACTGGGGGTTTGGCCTCAGAAAATTTCGGTGCATCCCCAGCCTCCAAGAGCAGGCAGCATATGCTCCCAAGAGATTCCCGTTGTTTTGGGGTAGTTTGACAGGGCCATATCGACAATGAACCCATTGTTTTGGGGTAACATCAAAACATATCAACACATTTAAGTGTCACACAAAAAATGTAAAACAGCATCTCTGGGCAAAATCATCTAGTTTGAATGTTGTTTTGCCTTGTGTCATGAACAGAAAGCAATTTTAGAAACAACAAAATATTGAGTTTGAAGGTTTGGCATCCCTGCGCAATTCGGAATGATTTTGGTTTGATGTGGCTCATCAACCCCCCCAAAAAAGGGTTTCTAAAAACAAAAGTGGCTGGATTTTAAGGTTTGGCATCTCTATGCAAGCAATGCAAACCAAATTGCATTTTAAAAAGAGAGAGGTTTACAAAAACATATCTCAGATTTTAAGCTATGGCATCACGGTGCAAGCAATGCTTTTTGAACCCTCCGTCTTTGGCACACGATTTCTCCACGACGAATCATCCCATTTTTTTCCTTTGTGCACCCTGACTGACAAGGTGATGAACCGCACTGTTTTGTTAGAACCTAATTGGGTGATTTGCCGTTTTGTTGGAACCTTCAATGCCTTTCTCACATCCTCTTTACTTCGCTTCGTTCTTTATGGATTGTAGCCCAGCCATACACTTTGATTTTGTATAGCCTTTTTGGGAAAACTGTAGGGTTTACCATGGCTTTTTGCCATTTCTCCAAGAGGTCAACGTTTCGCCGGAAACAAAAAAGTGCGCCGAGGAGTGTGAAGACCGACCGGCGGCCTTTGCATGTGTTCCTTGACCCGAAGAACCGGAGACCGGGATAGCCATGGATCAATGGTTCAGACATGTTAAGAAAAGATATCCCCAATATCAAAAAGTGAATATGAACATATCCAATGGCAACGACATTGGCCATTCTCCAATAATATCTAATGGTTATACCAAGTTATACCAATACCCTCTGGTACACTAACATAGCTATTGAAAATGGCCCAGTCGACGAAATAGTGGATTTACCCAGCTATAAAATAGTGATTGTCCATAGTTATGTGGCTGTTTACTAAGAAGGGTATTGTAATGGGATATGAATGGTGGCTATCTGGTGAATGGCTATCCGTGAGCTGAGTCCGGGGGTATCCACATGCCCCAAAAGCGAATTCTTGGAGAATTTTGTTACTTCATCATTTGGAATCTGGTTGGTGGTTTGGAACCATGGAATTTTATGACTTTCCACATATATATATATATATTGGGAATTTTATCATCCCAACTGACTTTCATAGTTTTCAGAGGGGTAGGTTTACCACCAACCAGGAATCATTGGGAGATATTGGGAGATTCTGTTTGGGAATGATATGAATTTCATCAAATTTCCGTATAGATTTACCATGTAACGAAGCACTCCGACCTCCAAAAACACGGATTTATAGTCACCGAAGCAATCTGCAACGTTTGCGCTTTCACGCTATTTCAACAAGGGGATCGGAGAATGGTTCCAATGAAGCTTCTGGCAGTGTGCAGGATAAATTTCATATGTGATATTTTCGTCATGAGAAGTGGAAAGAACCATAAATGAACATCGGCGAAGTCAATGACTACTTAAAATTCATAAGATTCATGGTAGTGATAAACAAAAACTATGAAACAAGTGATTTGTTCATATGAATGACTATAAAGAAGCCCGAGAATCATTACCATATTTACCATGGCTTCCTTAAAGTTATTCTTCAGGGCCATAGCATCGGGCTCTTTATTTAGCTTCCCCTTTCAGATCTTCATCATCCTTGGGTCCCAGCTCCCAACATGTAACATTTAAGGTATGTGACACCATCCATTCAAAACATGAAATTTACCCTCTGGTAAACAGCCACATAACTATGGAAAGTCACCATTTTCAATGGGAAAATCCACTATAAATGGTCATTTTCAATAGCTATGTTCAATTACCAGAGGGTAGGGTGCTGCCCCAAACTGTGGATGGTTGCGAAATCCTCCACCAGGCAGCGTAACTATTGGGATTCCTATGAAACACTGTAAAAAATTGCCTTAAAATGGAATAAACCATCTACCAACTGGTGCAGGATTTCTTTCATCCACAGTAGTTAGCTAAGTTGGTCTATATTCTATAAGTTCAATAACTGTTTGGTTGATGAATGAGGGTTATGTCGAACTAGTTATATAGTTGGGATTATGAACCAACTTATAACTGGGGGTACCACCCTGTAATTACCATATATCCATTTGCCACCACTTATCTAGGTCTGAACAGAAGGTACGTTCTGATACATGGCCATTGAAACTTGCCAAGGACTATTGCTTGGACAATTACTGCGTGCAATGCTTTTGGAAGTGCCACTTCAATGGAATCTGGGCAGCTGAAAGGTCGCCGTCTGCTGATGTTTGTTGTCAGATTCAAAAAGGTCATAGCATATCTGGTCTGAACCTCTGGCCTAAAAAACCACCAGGCTGCGGTGTTGGACTGCCTGGTAGTTTTACCATCTTTCAACAAAGTGATTTGCAACATTCTTTCTAATAGTTGGGGTGTCCAGTCACAGTTCTGTATGCTTTTTCGCGCAACTTTTTCCCAACAATTTTCTCAACAGTTTCCCATCTGTCCGTTCCAACTTGGGGATTTCGCTCAGTTGCCGGGTTGAAAACCCCGACACGCCAAGGCCATCGGCGGCAGCACACCGCATCGAAAGTGGGCGTGGTGCCCATGTGCAACCAGTGCCAGAAGCTCGTGCCGCTTCGGATGGGGAAAAAGTCTAGGGGATACAACAACTGCACTATATAGACACATAAATACAATATAATAATGATACAGTATATATATACATACGTGTGTATATATATATATTATTGTATATTTAAATATATAACATAGCCAATGATCTATCTATCTATCTATCTATCTGTTTGTCTATCTATCTATCTATCTAGCTATCTATCTATCTATCTATCTATCTATCTGTTTGTCTATCTATCTATCGATTTACCTATCTATATCTATCTATCTATTTGTCTATCTATATGTCTATCTATTTATCTATCTGTCTATCTATCTGTATCTTGATGGATTATAGAGATATATTGAGATTTCATTGATGATTCTAGGGGGTAGTATCCTGATCCTGTGGAGGGAGGGAGCGGTTCGAGGCTATCCTTATCCATATTCCCTATACGATTAATGGGCAGCCAAAGAGCGAGATTTGGAGTTTCTCAACCACATTTGATGGATCATAGATATCATAGATATCATAGCCATACACTATCATACACCTGTCTCGATGAAAATGGTGGTCAGATGGATTTACCACCTCACCCCTTCCAAACCAAACCGGTCACGGATGGACCCCCAGACGGACCAGCCATTCGGACTATCCCGGCTGGTTGAACAACCTGCCAGCCATCGTCTTTCGTTCACCGAAAAACTGCTACTCGCATCATACGCTGCAGTGAAACCATGTGAAACCCAAACTGTTTGGTGGTGACAATGTTTATAGAATGTTTATAGAATATTATAGAATATTACACACACATCACTATCATATGATATATACACATTTTAACTCATCAATTACGTTATGATCAGTATTAAACAAAAATATCACTATAATTAACCATATTTCCTATAATCACTTAGATCATGGTGCAAATTATCACTACGATTGCACATATTAATCGCTATACTGACAGTGATTATATGATCCGAGGAACGTCCGCGCGACGATCTTCTCGGAACAGACGCAGGAGTTGATGTGCACAGCCGCTTTTTTCCGCTTCGGCTAGGGTTTTGGCGTTTGGGGTGGGTGGAAGATGTAGGATATCAATGGGAATACCAATCGGAATATCAATGAATATCAATGAATATTTATGCTTGGAAGATGTTTTCTTAAATAATTAATGGATATATGAATATTTAGGGGAATATCAACGGGATACATATGGTTTATTATGGTTCGATATGGTTTAACCAATGCAAAATGGTGGTATAATAGCGACGTAATATGACGCAATGGGAATATAAGTGGCAATATCAATGGGAATACCAATGGGAATATGAATGGAATATGAATGGGATATATTCGAATACATTGGAATATGGATTCAACCTACATATAAAGAGATTTCATTTGCCGCCCATATTTTGATGGTTGATACCACCCATAAAAATTGTATAATTGGGGATAGTTTACTATTGCTTTACTAACATGATACACCTCCGGTAGGGGGCCTGGCATCATTAGATACAATGATTATACATGGGATATAAATGTGACAGTCCTATGTTTGAGGGATAAATTTATGGATATAGCATATCATCAAACCGGAAGCGCCCCTTGGCCCCTCGGTTGGTGTCTTGATTGCTGATAGATTCCAGTGATCCTATCCACTCCTATACACCTATGCAAGTTGTATTCCCAGCCGGCATGGTATTTTTCAGCCCTTCCCCCGATGAAAAAAGCAGATACTAAGAACAATAACAAACATGTTACGGTAAGACTATGGTTCGTGTTTTTCAAGCCCGAACTGGGATGATGGCCCCAATCGGCATTTCATATTGCTGGGATTCCCGATCCTGGAGGTGACGTTCCGTTTAGGGGGGTCCATCCAAACCACAATTTTCCAACCACCAGTTGACTGGTTGAAATCACTAAGACTGATTCAATCGTTCCAAAATTCCGATGCAACCATAAGAAATTTCAAGAAACATGGTAACAAATGATTCTGATCTAAGGAATGCTTCACCATGCTGCATGCCAAGGGCAATCGCATGTGCCTCGGCGCCGACCATCCGAGCCTTCAGGGGGCCCTTTTCCCAGACTCCCCTGACACACCGACACGGGGGTGCCCGACAGGCTCCATCTTTTTATGGACGCGATGGCAGGGGAGCTCAGAGTTGGGGCCATTCAGAAATCAATGATCCATGGATCCCAAAAACATCAAAAAGCCGTAAACGGAACCGAAATGAATCCAAATGTCTCATCTGTTCTTTGTTTTTTGGTCCATTGAATTTCGCCTTATACTTTCGTTAGTGAAGCAGGTTGTCGAGTTGAGATGTTGCCCCAGCACTCAGGATTTGCTGGTGCTCTTGGAACGCTTAGACCCTGCCTTCCAGGCTCCGGGGTGTGGGCGTTGGAGAAGGGGTGAGTGGTAAAAGTGACTGGTGAAGGGTAGTCCAACACGAGTTTAATGCACGATTATACCAGTTAATGGTGTTTTGACAATGGTTAGAAACAATGATAGATAATGGTGAACTGGTGTTTTATATGGTTTTATCCCGTTTTTTCGTTAGACCCTGAATGTTCGGTTCCAAATTCTAAACATACCTCTACCGTAGATACCATGATTCCTTGGGGGTGTTCCTTAGTGGCCCATGGTTAGGTGCCCGATCTGATCAGCCAACAGTCTGACAGTCTCATGATTCGATGCTCTGATAGATTACCATCTGGTTATGACTAACATAGCCATGGAAAATCCCAGCCATAAATGGAGAGACTAGCTGGGAAAATCATCTATTTCTATGGGCCATGGCGCCACCATGGCGATGTTAGTCATAACCAGAGGGTAATCTATGTCAATCTATTTCTACACTAGGCTTATCATCCTATTTTTTTAAATCCTATTTTTCTATATGTTCCGCGTTAAATGGTAGGGTAAACTGATGTAAATTGCAGGGCACCACACGATGCCCAATCTGGATGCTTGATTTTACGCTGCTGTCTGCGCTGTGATGTTTTCTTCCCAAATAAGCCTTTGCTACTCAAAGATGGCAAATGGACAATCCCCCAATAACTAGGTGGTTGGTGGTTTGGAACATGAATTTTATTTTTCCATATATTGGGAATTTTATCATCCCAACTGACTTTCATATTTTTCAGAGGGGTAGGTCAACCACCAACCAGAGAGTGTACATGATATTTTCATATATGTTCATATATTTTCATATGCTTCCCCATTGAAATGCACATTTATGGTGGATTTCCCATTGCCATGTGAGGTTTCTTCGGGTAGCTCAGTCCCCAGGAGCACATGCGACGAGCTCGTCCGAGAGTTCTGTGGGCTTTGTCTCAGCTGCAAGGCGAGGGACGACTGGATGACACCACGAAGGTGAGAAGTCCAATGTTGAGCTGATGAATGGGGGTTATATCCAACTAGTTGATGGGGATTATAAACCAACCTAAAAAGTTTCACCCAAAAAACGGGTGGAGTTCGATGTATCTACAAGGAAGATGTGAGTTCGATATATCTACGTTATCTACCAAAAAATATGAGTTCGATTTATATAATATATATTAATAATAGTAATATCAAACAATAGTAATACTACTAATAATCTAAATTATATATATATATGCTATAATCATATGATAATATATGTATCTACCATGACCGCCATGGCCTAGTGAAATATAAGTTGTAAAGCAACTTCGCTAATTGTAACCACCCGGGGCACCAGCTTGAGGGAGGACGGTAAGTCTGGATTCCACGGCCGACTCAGTGATCTACCTACTATGCCTTGTAGCATCAATCTATTTCACAGTAACCCATTCTGATGTCCATGTTTGGGTAACACTGCATTTGGCAGGTTAAGGGATCAAATTCGTGAATCTTCAGCCAGAAATGGAGGAAGTTCTTTATGATGTCTCACCAAAACCATTGTTTTTTTGGGCGGGGCAAAAGATTCATCACTTCATTTGTCAGTGAATGCCAGTGATAGACTCACATAGACTCTCTTTTCTGGTGCTAGGCGCTCTCTCCCTTGGTGTTGCGGCCAGGTTGGGTGAAGGGTATCGAAGCCCGCCGCAACTTCAAGAAGCGCAAGGCGCGCAACTTAAACAACGGGATGCAGGTTTGGAGGCTGATTACATCATTGTGATATACCTATACCTCTGGTAACATAGCTATTAAACATGGCCATTTATAGTTGATTTACCAGTGAATCATGGGTGGATTTTCCATAGCTATGTTAAACTACCAGAGGGTAATGTGAAGCAATAATAAACCACCCAGCTTTTTTTTGGCTATACCACCCATCAAAACGGTAACTTTGGAGGGTTGTGGATCATCTAAATATGCTTCATACCAATGTTAATTACATCCATAGATTTGGAAGTCACTGAAGTCACATCGGTCATCACATCGGTCATGTTGAATGGTCCTAGAAGGTGGCCCTATGTTCGAACGATATCTACCATATATATATATACATCTGGGTAATTTATAACGACCTCACTGCGACCTCACTATAATCATAGTTAGTAAGGGGAATCATCCCAAAATGGCCGTAATTCAGGATAGTGAGATATTATAATTTACCCAGATATATATATATATACACCTTATATCTACTCTAAACCGCTGATGCTTCAGCTTAATTGGACTATATATAGAGTTTGTAAAAAGACGTAAATCTATTATAATTACTGTATGACTATCTTGGAATTAGCAATGTTCAAGAGTATAGTACCAAACTATAGTAGATATGACTTAAAGAACTTACCTGTGCCAATATCTATGGATTGGTTTAAGGGAAAATCTTAACAGGAAACCATAGATTTTCCCATTAAGCATGGGGCTTTCCTGTAAATTTTCCCTTAAATCAATCCATTGACAATATCTATGGTAAGTTCACCATCGTTTTGGGGTGCTTCCGTTAAAAGGATGTGGTGCTCATGATCCAGCGCCGCTGGCGTGGTGTGCTCACGCGCCGGCGATTGCTAGGCGTGGCCTCATGGATGTGGACGGGCTCCATTGGGAATGTGATGGGAATATTATAGGAATATCATGGGAATATTATATAATATATGTTTCTTTTTAAAAATATAACATATATTATATAATAGCGAATAATAGGGAATATCATTAATTATAATAATAGGAACATATAATAATTTATAATAGGGATTAATATAACATAGCCTTACCCTCTGGTTATGACTAACATTTCGCCATGGAAAGATCCACCCATTTTTAAGAGGTACACCATCTATTTCTATGGGCCATCTATACCATAGCTATGTTAAATAACCATAGGGTATATAATGTGATGTTTCTTTTTAAAATAATAGGGGATATCATGGGAATATTATTGGGAATGTAACGGGAATATTATGGTTTAGTATGGTTTACTTGTATTATGATTTACGGTTTAAGCAACGCACAATGGTGGTAAACTTGGGGATGTAGTGGGGATATGTATATATATATATACATACATATTCAATGGAACATCAATCAGAGTTTTGTTTTGAATATCGTTTGAATGAAACGGAGTGTGCCAAAGATATCGGGGGGATATAGTGGGGATGTTTCATGGGAAATATAGCTGATTCAACAATCAATCAAGGTATAGTTTATGGGATTTACCCTCTGGTAATTTAACATAGCTATTGAAAATGGCTATCTATAGTTGATTTACCCATTAAAAATGGTGATTTTCCACAGTTCTGTTAGTTTACCAGAGGGTACAGGAACCATCAACTTCAACTTCATAACAAGGGCAGAATATCAGCGATAAAACATGGCTAGAGCTGGGACATCCCCTTTCGGGGTGGACTTTCCCGCCAACCAGCTGCCATAGGGCCATATCTAAAGTTACCCGAGCTGGTTATTTAATTGCCATAGATTTTTTTTTGACCCATAGAAATAGATGGTTTACCTATTACTGTAAAGATGGGTGGATTTTCCATGGCGAACTGTGAATGTCATAACCAGATGGTCACTACAGATTCAAATTCCATCGCTTTGGGGTTTTTCACGATGTTGAACGCTTCATCTTGATTTCCCTTTAGGACAGGATTTCCGCTTGGGACAGGATTGCGCCCTCATGGTCGCAGCACGCCCCGTCAGGCATGCTGCACATGCACAAGTGGCGAAGGCCGCTGGGATACGCGAAGTGATGGGATGGGTTAGTGCAACTTATATCAATTGGGGTTAATTCACCAGCTAATGGATGTACACCATTAGATATAGCTATTGAAAATGGCCATAGAAATAGTGGATTTACTCATTTTTGACAAATTAAACATGGTGATTTCCCATAATTAATTATGTTAGTTTACCAGAGGGTAATGGATGTACACCATTGATATATGATGATATAAGCTGTCGAACTATATGTTTGTCATTTTTCACCCCCCATGTTGATATATATTGATATTCAACTTTTGCTATCAATAGGGTTAATTTGCCAGCTAAACATTTCTTTCACAGCCTGTCTAAGTCTCACCATGGTTGCCCTATTTTGCGTGGATGTCCAAAAATAATCACGCCATACTATCCCAAACGAAACCCTAGTATTGGAATTGCTCAGTTTGAAGGCACATGGCGAAATTAGGGGGGAATGGGATCAATCAAGCGTGTTGCTCTAAAATTTCAACCACTTTCTTGCTTTCATAACTTATACCCCCATGATTGATCATAATCACAGCCCCATTCACAAAGAGTATCATCCCTCTTTAACCTTACTTCAATTTTAACCCCACGTTGCAGTATTCCAGGCCGAGCCTATGTCATCTATTTGTTGGAGCCATTTGAAGCAACTTCCAGACTTTTTTGCAACCCCCAAAAGAAGGATTAGAAGAGTAAAATCAGAATCTATAATAGTGATAAATAGCGAGTTTAAAACAATAAAAAACACGTTTCTAGCCTTTATTTGGGGTTGCTACATATCACCATATTCCCAACATTTTCCGTCCCCGAACGGGTGATCAACGATGCCATGGAGGTTCCTTAAAGTCATGGGGGATCCCTAAGTGACCATGGGTTTCAATACTAAGTCATGGTCCAATGACTTGGATGATTTGGGGTACCCCCATGACTTTGGAAACGTCCATATCGGTATATTATTGGGCTAATTAAAAAAAGCATATCAATGGGAAATCATGGAAATTTCGTGGGAAAACATGTGATATTTTTTACCCATTAAAAATCCCTCTAAGATTCTTCAAAAACCATTTGAATCCCATGTTTTTTTTTGCTATAACCCCCCTTTAAAGCATCTTTAGCTTCCTTTTACCCTCTGGTAAACTAACATAGCTATGGAAAATCACCATTTTTAATGGGAAAACTCACTATAAATGGCCATTTTCAATAGCTATGTTAAATTACCAGAGGGTAGGTTGACCTTTTGATTTCGTCCTAGGCGCCAAGTGAACAACTACTTCCTGCCGAAGACGGCCGCCGAGCGTCGGGCGGTGAAGCAGAAGACCACCGCCATGCTGTCGGCCAAGGTATCCCAAACGGGGCGTTTGGTGTTTTGGGGATCCCCGGCGTTTGGTAAACTACCCTCTGGTAATTTAACATAGCCATGGTATAGATGACCCATTTATAGATGGTTTACCTATTACAAATGGTGATTTTCCATGGCTAACCGTTAGTCATAACCAGATGGTCATAGTGGGATTTCATGGTGACTTTGAGGGGATTTAAGCATCAACCTCAGGGATTTGATGATAGTTACTCGGCCTGGTAAACTGTCACAGTTTGCTATGGAACATCACAATCTTTAATGGGTAAATCAATGAAATAAATTGATATAAATGGGCCATTTTCAATATGTAAAATGACCAGAGGGTATGATCATCCTACATTGATTTATATACTACTACAAGGTGGTGCACCCTCCCAGCGATCTAGTTGGTTTATATATATATTTTTCTATAAACCATACCGGGCGAGTTCGATATATCTTGATATATCTACCATTTAGGGCCTAGTTATTGGAGTTCTAAACCAACTTAGCTAACGAACTGGGGCACCACCTTGTATTAGTATATATTATGATAATATGACGGTCCGTATACATATGGAATATATAAGTGTAGTATTTTGATCATGTTTGTGTTTATGTGAGCAGTTTTTTTTTTTCTACATTATATATATATAATATGAACTTATGTAGTATTATATTTCGATTAACTATGGGAAGTATCTCTTCACTCTCATTCAGGATTATGATTGATTTGTTCGGGGGATTCTGGTTGATTGTGTGCTTTGATGCTCATGGCAGGCTCTGCTGTAAACCACATCTTTGTTGCTTAAGCCACCATTGTTAATTGTTGGATGAAAATCATGTTAAATCTTCATTTTTCTTGGCTAGAATCCAATTGTTGATGAGTTTTTGTTGCTTAAGACATTCTAAAAATCCAACTTTGATGATTTTTAGCAGGGAATTTTCGGGAATGATCCACAATAACTATCAATAATCAACCCCCATCAACCGCCATCTACCCCCATCAACCCATCCATTCCCTGCGTTTAGCACCAGTAAGACTTTGAATTTTTGTCGCTCAGAAGCTCCATGATCCTCCCATTAGACTCCAACAGCGGCTTGCCCTCGGGCGGGCCAGGACGTGACCACGCGCGCGGCAAACCAATCGCTGCGCGAGCTGCGCTCAACGATTTTGTCCACCGCCACGGCGGACCCATTGGAGGCGAAGTTCATGAAAAAATGTGTTTTACTAACCATTAACGATTGTTGAGGGAGGTTAAACCAATGGTTAGCATATGAACCAGTAAAACCAAATTTTCATTAAAATCCTATTAACAGTCATAAACAATGGATAAAATGGCTGTTATAATCCCCATCATGTCCCATCATATTTTACTAACCATTATCTGCTATAACAGTCATATGATGGGATAATGAGATACAATAGGATATTTCATGAGGATTATAACAACCATTATTTTTTTGGGGGGGGGTTGTAAACCATGAATAACAGGATGGGCCCTCCCAGTGATGTTTGTTGGTTTATAAACCATGAATAACCCCCATGAACTAGTTCGTTATATCTACCATAAACCATAGTTAAACCACTGAAAGAAGGCAACTTGGCTATCTTGGGGGCCCCATCCTGGAACCATAATTTCAATTCTGTTAGCAGGTTAGCATTTTGTTGGGGTAGTTGGAGGGTCTAGGTATACATATATATAATATTATATAGAGATGATTTAGCATATTTAGCTAAACATGCAAATAGTTTACCTTCATACTTTGAGCTTTATGATGCTCCAGCTAGTTGCCGCAAGGGCAGTCAATCACTCTACTTGTTGATGCTGGTTGTAAGACTTTGAAGATCTTTGAAGTCATCTTCCATCTAGAAGCTGGCTGACGAGTCATACGGGCCTTTGCTGATGGCAGTGGTAATCTGGATGGATGGATAGATGGATAGATGGATAGATAGCGGGAGGAAACATACGAAAGTGGGCCACACATTTCCGATTTGGGCATTCTTATCATTTGCCAGGATATTCAAATACTGTACGTTTGTATGTATTAATGTGTATAATATACATTTCACATATTCATTTCGATGGATGGACCCATGGTTCTGAATAGATTAGATCAATGTGGGATTCACCCAATGCCATAGACAAATCCCATTAACCTCTTGTAAACTAACATAACTATGGAAAATCACAATGTTTAATGGGAAAATCAACTATAAATGGGCCATTTTCAATAGCTATGCTAGTTTACCAGAGGGTAACCAACAATGTTTGGGGTTCATTCTACATCATCCCAGTCATAGCCTCCCCATCGGGGACGGTTTCTCGTTGGGTTTACCTACCATGGCGATGGGTTTACCAATGGCCCATAGATGATTTACCTTTTTTCGAAATGCTGGTTTTCCATACGTTAAATCATCGGAGGGTTAACTTTGCCATGGTTTTTCATTCGTCGGATTCTGTTGGATTTCAACCATTACACATTGGGAATTTATAGAATATTCATGGGGATATTCGAACTAACTATAAGTAGAAAATTGGATGAAACATGTATCATCACTGGTTGGTGGTTTCAAACATGGCTTTTATTTTTCCATATGTTGGGAATGTCATCCTTCCCAGCTGACGAACTCCATCATTTTTCAAGTTGGGTAAGTTGGGTTGAAACCGGCAACCAGTTATTATCTTACTGGTGCTTAGTGGGGGATGGATGGGTTGATGGGGGTTGCTGGGATGATTATTGATAGTTATTGTAGGTTATTTCATAGTAATTATAACCACTATTATTACCCTCTGGTAATTTAACATAGCTATTGAAATTGACCATTTATAGTGGATTTACCCATTAAAAATGGTGATTTTCCATAGCTATGTTAGTTTACCAGAGGGTAACCAACAATGTTTGGGGTTCATTCTACATCATCCCAGTCATAGCCTCCCCAGCGGGGACGGTTTATCGTTGGGTTTGCCTACCATGGCGATGGGTTTACCAATGGCCCATAGATGATTTACCTTTTTTCGAAATGCTGGTTTTCCATACGTTAAATCATCGGAGGGTTAACTTTGCCATGGTTTTTCATTCGTCGGATTCTGTTGGATTTCAACCATTACACATTGGGAATTTATAGAATATTCATGGGAATATTCGAACTAACTATAAGTAGAAAATTGGATGAAACATGTATCATCACTGGTTGGTGGTTTCAAACATTCTTTTTATTTTTCCATATGTGGGATGTCATCCTTCCCAGCTGACGAACTCCATCATTTTTCAAGTTGGGTTGAAACCGGCAACCAGTTATTATCTTACTGGTGCTTAGTGGGGGATGGATGGGTTGATGGGGGTTGCTGGGATGATTATTGATAGTTATTGTAGGTTATTTAATAGTAATTATAACCACTATTATTAAATATATTATTGATAGTTATATAGTTATTGTAGGTTATTTCATAGTAATTATAACACATTATAACCACTATTATTAACCACTTATGGTGATTATTACTCTGGTTGGTGGTTCATGACGGGTGCATCAGATCTGCTGTGATCTTTGGAGTCCGATGAACGCCCCGGAGGGGGTTGACGCCTTGGTCATGGAATTTCCCCATGGCAAATCACCAACTTTTTTGATCCCCAAAAAGACGAAAGCAGATCACGACCCACTGGCAATTTCTTACATCGCCCTTGAAAATTGCCATTGATAGTTGATTTAGCCATCAAAAATGGTGATTTTCCATAGCTATGTTAGTTTACCAGAGGGTATCCAACGGGTGGGCTTCGGAGTGGGTTGAATTTCGAGGATGCGCAGATGACTCGAGATCAAATGGATGCGGCTTGGTGGCAGGGGATCTCCGCCGTTGAAACAACGGTGACTCGTATCTAATGTGGTAAATCCATGTAAGCCCAACAAGAAAGCCATACCCAATTAATGTCAACCCCGGATGAGACTAGACCATGGTTTATTAATTCGGGGGGTACTCCCCAAATAGTCATAATCTGATACTTAAATGGTATCCCCCAATTAAACAACCTAGGGGTTTATTATTCCAGGGTTGACATTAATGACCATGAATGGTTGTACACATCCAAATGATAAGTTTTATATTGGGTTTACCTCAAGACTTTGGAGCTACACCGACGAAATGCTGAAAAACTACTCCAGCCAGTTGCCGCAAGGGCAGTCAATCACTCTACTTGTTGATGCTGGTTGTAAGACTTTGAAGATCTTTGAAGTCATCTTCCATCTAGAAGCTGGCTGACGAATCATACTCCACTTTGCTGATGGCACTGGAGAGAAGGATAATCTTCATGGATGGATAGATGGATGGATAGATGGATGGATAGATGGATAGATAGCAGGGGGAACCACCCCAAAACTGGCCACACATGTCTGATCTGGGAATTCTTCTCATTGGCCCCAATATTCAAATATGTATACCCTCCGGTTATTTAACATAGCCATGGACAATCCCAACCATAAATGGAGGTTTCTAGCTGGGAAAATCATCTATTTCTATGGGCCATGGCTTCCATGGCTATATCTTTCTGTGGGATTCACCCGATGCCATAAACCATCCCATTAACCATGACTGGGGTTCATACTACATCATCCCAGTCATAGGGGTACCCTCTGGTAAACTAACATAGCTACGGAAAATGACCCATTTATAGATGGTTTACCTATTAAAAATGGTGATTTTCTATAGCTATGTTAAATTACCAGAGGGTATACCTAATAATACACCTCTATACACCTCTAGATAGGAGATGCTTTCTGACAACATGATTCTAGATTTTGATGGAAACACACACACACACACGCACAGACACACATACACATGGATGTGTATATATGTATATATACATGTATAGAATGCGAAAAAAAAGCAAACGAATAATATATGTATAATTATGATATACGCATTATTTACATCATGCCATTTGATGAATCGCCACATACCCAACTCCTGCGGTTCGTGTCCCTCCAGTGATGGAACGTTGGTGTATAAAGCATAGGAACCAGTTCGATCTAACTACCATAAACCCCCAGTTCACCAACTTTATATTTTTTATTACCATAATAAGTATACATATATCAGGGGTTTTTATTATAGATGCATATAGATGCATCATCGATAGTAAGCGTAGATATTTCCATCCATCTATCTATCTACCTGCCTACCTATAGATCTATCTATCTAATCTAATCTAAATATCTATAATTAATCCAATCTAATCTAATCAAATCTAATATAATATAATCAAATCTGATCGGTCGATATATCTACAGTATCTATCTTATCCAATTGTATGCTATCTTATCATATCATATCTTATCTTATCTTATCTGATCTTATCTATCTTATCTATCTTATCTATCTTATCTATCTTGTCTATCTTGTCTATCAAATCTATCAAATCTATCAAATCTATCAAACCTATCTAATCTATCTAATCTATCTAATCTATCAATCTATCAATCTATCAATCAATCAACCTATCAATCCATCAATCTATCCATCCATCTATCCATGCATCCATCTATCGATCTATCGATCTATCGATCTATCTATCTATCTATTTGTCTATCTATCTATCTATCTACCTATCTAATCTCATGTAATCTACTCTAATCTAATCTCATGTAATCTAATCTAATCTAATCTCATGTAATCTATATAATCTAATCTAATCTAATCTAATCTTTTCTTATCTTATCTCATCTTATCTTATCCATATTATCTTATCTTATCTTATCTGTTCTTATCTTATCTTATCTTATTTTATCTATCTTATCTATCTTATCTATCTAATCTATCGATTTATCTAATCTATCTATCTATTCTATTCTATTCTATTCTCTTCTATTCTATTCTATTCTCTTCTCTTCTATTCTATTCTCTTCTATTCTATTCTATTCTCTTCTATTCTATTCTCTTCTCTTCTATTCTATTCTATTCTCTTCTCTTCTATTCTATTCTATTCTATCCTATCCTATCTTATCTACCTATCTATCTATCTATCTGCCTATCTATCTATCTATCTGCCTATCTATCTATCTATCTACCTATCTATCTATCTATCTACCTATCTATCTATCTATCTGCCTATCTATCTATCTATCTATCTACCTATCTATCTATCTAATCTATCTATCTATCTATCTATCTATCTATCTGCCTATCTGCCTATCTATCTATCTATCTATCTTGGTTCTACCTTTTCTTGGGGAACCACTTTTTTGTCTCCAGCCAGGCCTTACCCGGTGCCATCGACATCCCTGGCGGCAGCACGGGCGGCTTCGGGAGCCTGCCCGCCGGGGTCTCGCCCTACACCAGCTACGTGCCCGAGCCGCAAATTCGGCCGGGGAAGGTGGAGAGATTTTTGATCCCATCCTGGTGTTTTCCACAGAAAAAGATGGTTTTTTGATGGGGCCAAGGGTTCCAAAAAGGGTGACTTGACCTTAACAATCCTGAAATTGAGAAGAGCCTGGTTGATTGTCCATTCTATTCCCAGTACATTCTAAATATGTCTATATGTATCTATAAATACTCATGATACGCAGGTATATCTTATCTGCGCGTCTGCCTGCACACGGGAGTATGAATGATTAATGTGTCAGACCCATAATGATAGGGATATAGAAACATCATCCCAAATAGGGATATACCCTTCAATTGAGGGGATGGTTTAACAATTCTTGTGTTTACCATATTGTATCTACATGTATATATGCGTATTATATAACATGGAACCTGAAAATGTTGTTCCTGAAGACGGAAGATGATTCTAGTACTGTATATGACTCTTGCTGGGTCAAAATGCGTGGTATCTAATTAATCTGTTATCTTTGGCCCTGGCTGGGTTCCATGTTAATTAAAAAATCATCATTTCAAGAGTGTGACATAATGTTAAACCACCATTTTTGATGGTTAACCCATCTAGCCTATCTAAACCCATGCGGAAAACACATGAAAACACTAGAACCACATACGGACATATAAACTACGAATAATGGAGATTGGATTAATAACTGATGTGTGATTTATGGTAAGTATGACAGACGGATGGGTTTACAATGGTTTACAAACCAGTTTCCAACTGGGGGATTCCACTCAAGGAATTGGGAAGTTAGATTGTTTGTTCGAAACATGTTCCAGTCGGTATGGTCGGTCACCTTGGCGAAAACGGCCCAGGAGCAAAGTTCGCGCTTCAATGGTGCCCTTGCGAATCCTGGCAATGTTCAGACCGCGCAAGATCTTTCCAAGAAGGCGCGGCGCAGCTGTGGGTGGAGAAAGAAGATTATGCATATATACTATATGTAATACATGCTGCATATGTCATGTAAGAATGTGTAGTAATAATGATAGTACTAGTAATGCACGCACACACACACAAATCTGTATAATTATGAATATGTACTTATATATATATATATACATGTAGTTATATATATAACTATATTTGTGTGTATATATGTATATACATTATGTATGTATGTTTGCATGCATATAAAATTGCAGATGTATGCGTGTTTTTCCCAGATGTGCTGCACAATGTGTGTACATATATATATATGTCATATCTATATAGATGTACAAACAAGGATCAGTTGTTTTGATTGGGCTATAAATGCCTCAATCACCAACCCTTATGCCAATCGCAGGGTGAGAAAATCGTCATGGCTGGTGGAATCATCTCCGAACTCCTCACAACAATCAGCCCCTTATAGTGGATTCCCCTATGTGTTCCAATTCTTTTCCCATTTCCCATTAACAAAAAGAACATTTTTTTTTCCCCAAAGGCAGTGGAAGACTTTCCTCTCACTGCTCTTCCTGCCTAGCTTTCTCAAGCCCTAATTATTTGGGATGGGTATGCAACATGTTGAAACATGTTGAAACCACAACTTGAACCCGCACGCTTTCCCTAAAAAAAATACACCCACAAAGTTTGGAGATGTTCCAATTTGTTCTTTGTGATTCTCCATGTTTCTCCCATTTTTGGCTGTCAAAAAAAATCTTGTTAACTAACAGATGTGTTGGAAAAACCGCCGGAAATGTAGATCATTTTCAGAACTGGTTTTCCCATGGGTTTTCCACATCTATGTTAGTTTATGTTAGTTTGCTGGTGGCTCTAACTGACTGGTGTATAACATTTCACTGGAATGATGGATATACATCGATTTGGCAAAATTATTGCGACCTCACTGTTCTTTCTGACTGGAATGATGATTAGCCGTAACTATCCCAAAGAAACCATATATTTCAGGTGGGTGAATTCTTCTACTCAGATAGATGGGGCTGTCAAATCATTCATTTTTGGATGGATTTTCCAGTAAAAGCCATCCAGCGGGTTGCCCCCATGAGTGCATTTTAGGACCCCCCCAGATACCCTCTGGTAAACTAACATAGCTATTGAAAATGGCCATAGAAATAGTGGATTTTCCCATTATAAATTGTGATTTTCCATAGCTATGTTAAATTACCAGAGGGTAATACTACACAGTCCACTTCCAAATACACTGGGGCCGTTGCCAGGACATCCGCAGCACGCGGGACAACACCTTGCGCCAGATCACACGCTTGGACTGAGGCGACGCTGGAGGTGCTGTTTCTGGGGGCTCTACCCTGTGGGTGTTTAGTTTTATTCAGTTGTAACGAAGATCCTATGGAAATCTAAGGAAATCCATGGAAATCTATGGAAATCTATGGAAATCCATGGAAATCTATGGGAAAGCTGTGGAAACCCATGGTTGAAAGGCGATGGAAACTTATGGTTTTCCAAAAGAACATGATCTACATGAGTAGATTTTCCATAACTAAACGTTTACTGAAGAGCAATTGCAAGATATTAATGATATTGCTGCGGAGTGACGCAAAGGTAGCAACCAGAAAAGGTTCTAATTGGGCTCAAATCAGGTCGCTGCCCAGGCGCAGCCTTTTTGCTAGATTCGAACTGTGCACAGCTGCGATGTGCAAGGAAAGTGAGACATGCCAAGTGCCAAAAACATGCACCAAACTGCCACACTCACATCCCAAAAGGGGAGTGTTGGCATGTCGAATTAGCTGGCGCAGCCAGTTCTGTGCGATGTACTAGCGCTGCCAGGGCTCGTTTTGGCGCTGCCAAATCTTTTCTTACGGCGCTGCCGTTGTTCCTTTCTTAGGCGCTGCCTGTGCTCCTCAAGCTTTCGTTCTGCTTCGGTCTCCTTCAGCGACACGGTGTTCTCCTGACAAAACTGCTCCCACAAGGTGCCACGCATCTTCTTGGTGAGCATGTCAGCGAACTGCCTGTGGGTTGGTACCCAAAAGACTTCGAATGCCTTCTGCTCGAGCATGTCCTTTGCCACGAGCAGGTCCAACATAGTTTGTCTTTCTGAAGGTATCTGACCTGTTGTATGTAGGTGGTCATACAGCGACCTCGCGTCGGTCACCAGGCCTCCTCCATGCTTGAGCTTCGCTCTCCAACCCTCTTTGACTTCAGTGTTGCCTGTCCACAAGATATCCAAAAGAATCCTGATGTACAAGTGGCGGTCAACCGTCAAAGACATGCTGTTGCTCTCTGCGGCCATTGAACTTCTCACCACCCTCGTCGACCTGGAAGTCTGATATTCAATGGGTATGGCCAGCTGTGGACCATTCTTCACACCATCGGTGGTCAAGAAATGAATTCCACCCAGTTGCGACCTTCCATCTTCTTCCTTTCCAAGCGACGCATCAAAGAAGCTCAGCACATAGGGCTTTCCTTTCATAGGCGGGTAGTAGAGGTGACTTCTCTCCGCCTCAACCTCCTCCAGAAAACTCCCATGCAGTTTCACTGCTTCTTTGAAATCATCATAGGTGGCCTTGTTCACCCTCTGCGCAAGGGCACTCACCTCATAGAGCTTCTGCGGCATGGCTTGCTGAGCCGGCCAGCGCAACCTCATAGTGAGCTGCCGGTACCGCGTCACATCCTCCGGCACCAAGGGATCAGCACCTCCCTTCTGTTGAGGTTCTGGCACTTTAATACCCTTGACATAGGCACTCATGTCATCATACAAGCCAGGTTGCTTGCCGGTGCGCATATCCACACCTAAGAAGGTAAGTGGCACCTGCTCCCACTCTTTGATTCGAAAGAGTCTATTGAGTTCCTCCTTGAGCTTGAAGTAGCGAGGATCCTTGGGGTGACCTAGTAGCAGGCCGTCATCCACATGCAAGCAAAGGATCGCGTAGCTCTCTCCATTTTCTGATGCCACGAAAGTGGCTCGAGCTGCTGGGATCTCCCTCAGTGCTGTCTTGTGAATCAACTCCACAGCACGAAGATACCAAAGGCGTGGTGCCTCGGTCAATCCATATGCCGACTTCAGCACCCTCAGCAACTCATAGGGTAGAACGGCATCCCAGCCATCGGTGGGTGGTAGGCCATCCACTGGGGCCTTCACATAGAGCTCCCGCTGCGTCTCCAAACCACTCAAAAACGCAGTGGTCACATCAAAAGACCACACGGTCCAGTTCCGAAATTGGCCCACTGCTTTGGCCAATCGGACGGAGGTCAAGGACGTAGTCGGACTATCCGTCCTGAAGAATCCCAAGTTGGGATCTGTGTGTCCAGGAATCACCAATCGGCTCTTGGCCAATATCGGCAGCAGCATCTTTTGCTGCTTGTTGGTGCGAACCATCCTCATTGGCGATCGGAACACGTTGTACTTCTGTACCCTGCCCTTTTCCTCAGGTGTAAGCCTCCTCACCACACCATTCTGAATCCACTGGGACCACTCCTTGCGATCTGCTTCTCGAAAGAGCTTCTTCTCCTCCTCATTGAAGAAGCGTGGGTCCAGTTCCTTTCCACTCTGTTTCATCTTGAGCAGCATCACCTGACTCAGCAAAACATCCTTCAGTTCAGCCTGCCATTCTCGTTCGAAGGCTCTCCTCTGTCTTCGGCTCCATTTGACCTCATAGATCTCTCCATCCTTCTCCACGTAGGATTTCACCCGCTCATCTCGATTCGCAGGCTTTTCCTTGTAGTACATGGAGATGCCACGCCATGGAAAACTCGCCTTGCGGCGTGGATTCTGTTCCACCTCCTTGGTGTTCTCTTCCACCACAAAGGCATCTCGTGGGTCCTGACCGATGAGAATGCTCAGCCTTGCCCTGCTTGCCAACTTTGGTGGCCGTGCCAGCTTCTTTCTCGGTTGTCGATGCAGTCGCGCAGAAGTCAGGGGCAGGCCTGTCAGCTCCCTCAAAAGGCCCAACTCATATTGAGTCACCCACTCATTGGCTCTGCCATCCTCTGTGTGTAAAGTCCCAAGCATCACCTGAACCACAAGCGACTCCGTCACTCTTGCTCTTTTTCCAGGTGGGGCTGCTGGCTCTTGATCTTCTTGATGAAGTCTCCTTTTCAGTGATGCGGGCACATCATCCAGCAGCATTCGCCTGTGTGCCTCTGACTGCTCTCGTGCCAGCTCTGCCTGGAACTCCTCCTCAGTAGGTCCCGCGGCCGCTGCCGGCGCCTGTCCTCGCTGCTCTTCATCCTCCTCAGAGTCCTCAATCTCAGGGACTGGTACCTCTTCTGCTCTCGGCTCTGCCGGAACATCCTCGATTGCTTGGTGTTCCTCGTGCTCGGACGCAGCCGGCTCATCTTGTTCTTCCTCATGCTCGGACGCAGCCGGCTCTCTATCCTCAAGCGCAAGTTGCCTTCGTTGCCTTCTGCGCTTTGGCACATCTCTGGAATCTTCTAGCGCTGGCGCAGCCAGAGTTCTTTCCTCTTCATCCTCTCCCGGCGCAGCCGGTGCTGATGCACTAGCCGCTGCTGCTGGAGGCGCTGATTGATGGCGCTGCCTTCTTCCAAGCCTCACTTGGCGCGTCCTCCGCTGCTGTAGTTGTGCGGCCCTCTGTACTCTGTCTTGCATCAAGTTCCTCACAGCTCTGGTACCCTGCATCATCAGCCTGGCACGCTTTGATTCCTCAGGCTCTGGTGGTGCAGGCTTCCTCTTTCGGGTTGGCCTTCTTGGAGGTGGTGCTCGAGGTCGGAGATCTCGAAAGAGATTGGGGATATTGCCGTCTCTCAAGGCATCACCCACATTGTCCATATCTTCTTTGACGGCCTCCGTTAGAGCAAGCTCCTCTTTCGTTGAGAGGCGCATGTTCTCCTCGGCGACCAGAAGTAACCTTCCTCGCCATGAGATGAAGTAGCGTTTGCTCTTCTCCCTCGTGAGCACTGTTGCAGGTCCCCGCCATGTGCCTCCCTTCCGATACCTCACGGCCTTCTGTGAGCTCGGGACCCAGAAGTAAATCTGAGCTCCAGGGACGAATGGCCCAGACTGGGATACTGCTGGTTTTCTCAGCACTGATCTCCTCATCTTTTCTCTCACGTCGTTCCTGATCAATGCTACTCTGGCAGTGGTCCTCATACGATGAGCTCTGGATACCTCGCTCTCCACGCTCAAACCTTCCGCGAAGGAGAGCTTGACTTCCTCATCATTGAGGGTCGGCCATTTGCACTCATATCCAAAGACTCGTTGATTGGGCGTAAAGCCATCTTTCGTGAGGGTAGCGTTCTTCGCTTGTACGGCTGCTGCTAAACCCTCCTTCATGGCATGGTAGCCCTCCAGGCTATGCTCATGCACAATCGCCTGCATCAGATCTGCCAGCAAACCTCCATGTCGCTCTCCTGCTGCAAGCTGCCACCCTGCGTGAGAAGCTGTGATGTCCGTGGGGATACTCATCTGTTCGAGGTAGAGCAGAAAGGTCTTCTCGAACTCCCCACCTTGATCCATTGTGATCTTTGCTGGAGGTCCATAGATGGATATCCAGTGTCGGAAAAACTTGTGGGCAACATACTGGCTCTGCTTGGTCTTGATCATCACCGCATCGTGCTTGACCGTTCCAAGGTCCAGCATACTCAAGCAGGCATAGCGTTTCCGACGGGCATCATAGACGTACTTGATGTCGATGTGAAGATGCAAATTGAACCCGTAGGGTCGCACCGACGGCGCAGCCGCTTGTGGGTGCTTGGGCGCAGCCCTTTGTGCACATACGGGGCATTGCCAGCGCTTGGCATAGCGGATTGCATCATCCGTAGCCCCGCTCATCTTGAGCATTCTAACCAATGTACTTCTGGACGGATGGCCCAGTTGGCGATGGGAAAATTCCACGGCCTTCTGCACTTCTCGTGGAATGGGATGTCTCTGGTCGTCATCCATTTCCTGCTGCAGGTCTTCTTCATCCTTCTTCAGCGTTTCATCCAGGACCTGCTCCTCTTCTCAAACGGCGTCATCGCCATCAATCATGTCACCTTCCGACATGACACCTTCTTCTCCAAGATCCTCGACCAGGACATTTGGCTGGTTCCTCATAAAGTTCTCTGCGCCATCCATGATGGCGTTGCAAAGTGCAATGGGATAACCTCCAGCCCATTCACTGAGAGCTTGCCATCTCCCACTCTCATCCTTGAACTTGCCCTCTATTGGCCAATGCTCATGGCTTCCGTCGCACTTCAGCCTGAGTGGTGCTACCACCTCTTCATTGCCCATGAATCTCGTCCTCTTCCTCAGTGGCACCTTGTTCACTGGATGAACAAGCCCATAGCGGCATTGATCCGCCACAGCTTCGGCACA